TTTTCTCCGTCTTCTTCCACAATTTATCTCTGATTGTTTTTTTTCTCCGTATTTTTAAAATTTATTTCTTGCAGCTGTTAAAATTTTCCAAAAGAAAAAAAAAAGCAAAAAAACTTATGTGTAAATCTATTTTCGTTTTCTTTTCAACAAAAAAAAAAAAAAGAATTTCTAAAACATTAGAAAAAAGAGAGAAAAAAAAGAAGAAACAAAGAAAAAAAAATTTTTTTTTTCTTCCTTTATAATGCTATACAACCCGTAAAGTATTTTAGCCACAAAAAAAACCACTACGACGATGATAAAAAGAAAAAAATTAAAAAAATTCTATTCTTTTCCGTTTGTATAGTTTTTCTTTCATTTTTTTTCCTTCTTCTTCTTCTTCTATTGTTTTTTTTCTTTTCTTTTCTTTCCTTAAATTTGTTTTTTTTGGTTGTTACAGCATTTGTTTTAAAAAGCATTTTTAGTGTTATAAATAATTAGTGTTATATACAACAGACACAAAAATACACATACAAACACAAAAACACACACACACACACACAATCACTAAAAAAAAAACGTATACAATTAACGATTTTGATGTTCCTCCTTAAGAAAAAAACATCAGAAAAAAACCAAGAAAAAGAAGAAGTAGAAGATGACGATGATAAGAAGAAAAGAAAAAAAAACACCTCCTCTTCTTTTCTGAAAAATATACAAAGTTTCTTATACCTCCTATTTTCCCCTATCTCTTCTCTTCTTCTTCAACTAATCGTCAGCCAAATTTATCATCAAACAATACACCATTTCTCGAAAATCTAAAAAAAACCATTACCACCAATGAAAAAAATGCTTCTAATTTAAAATGACCTCCTTCACGCTCTTTTAACCTCGTCTTTCTCTTTTTTTTTCCTTTTATTTCAAGCAGTGGTCAACCAACTAACTGCTATTAGTGGACAAACTAACTATCTATAGTCTTTCAGATTAGCCATATCATGTTAGCTCTTTTTTTCCCCCTTCCTTTTTCTGTTTATCCAACCAATAAAGATAATCTAACAATAATTCAGCAGCTATATTTGACTCGTATTTCTTTTCTTACATCATACAGATAAAAGTCATATTTTGATGTAATTAACCAATGTTTCTAATGCCCAAACATTCTTCGTCCTTAACGGCTCACTGATATCGCTACTATGGCCGCTATTACTATTACTACAACCTTTTCTTCTACATCATCATCATCATTGCCACTACCGTTATCTTTGCCTACTATAACAATTCATTTTTTTTTTTTTTTTTTGAAGCGTAACATTAACTGAAGTTTTCTCTTCTTCTCTCCATCTTTTTTCTTGTCGGTTATCTACTTTTTTTTTCACAGCAACGAGCATTTTAGATTGGCATCGGGGTAACGCCAAAATGACTCCAAAATGCAATAACAAATTACGCGCAATGAGAGCAGTATGCCAATCATTTTTTTAAGCTCTGCTGGAGCTAAATCACGATTTTGTACGTCTGTGCTAAAAACTCCGATTTCACTTTTTTTTTTTTTCATTTTTTTTATCTTTTTTGTTCTTAATTTTTGTTTTTGTTTTTCCTCACTTAAATTCCCGACAACACACCCCTTCCCAATCCCTTCCCCTTTCAAAAAAACCCCTCTTCCAAGAAAAAGCCTATTCTACAAAAAAATTTTTTTTTGAATCCTTTTTTTATAACCTCCTCTTCTAAAAACTTTTTCTCTTTTCTACCCTCCATCCTACCACTCCTTCCCCTTTAACCTTCCAACCCCCTTTCCTTTTGTATTCATCCGTTCGTTCATCAGCATTTTTGGTCGTTCATCAGTTCACACTATTTGTTTACCCCTCTAACCCTTGACAGTCAAAAAAAAAAAGACAACTTTTTTTTCCTTGATTTCCCTATACAAAATGGATACTAGCGCCTAAACTTTTTTCTCTTCTCTGCTTTCAATTTTTGCCCAAAAAATTAGTACTGATTGTAAAAGTAGGCAAAAACCAGTAGAAATCGCAAAAAAGATCTATGACTGATATTTAAATTTGAGAAAAATCCCTCAAAAAAATAATTATTAATTTGACTAATATGGGAACAAAAACGGCCGATAAAACTGTTTTTATATTTAGCAACTACTGTAACAAAAATGGATGACAGCGAAACAGCGACGGGGACACAAGCATTAGAACTTATCGGCCGAGTTCCGGAAAGTCCTGGGTCCCGATCTAATTACGGAGAATTTTATTGGTAATTTGCAATGATATCATCAAACACGCATCATTTTCTCAATAAATGAACTATTCCGATCAGAAAACTTCTCGTTTATAAAACTTTCTTTTTTTCTTAAAAGCTTACAATTTTTTTTCTAAATAAATTCTAAGTAACAACCCAGTTTGCTGTGAAATAATATGTTATTGACACATTTCCGGGATCAATATAGGGATACGAACGGAGAAAATGTTTATCACGCAACAGAAACATATGAAACAGACTTGGTACTAGACGCTGATGTTTATGGCCGAAGTGGATCAGCATCACGTCTCGACCGAACTCAAGAAGATCTCGATAAATACCGTCAACGAATTGACGCTAATGTGGAGCAGCAGAAAGAATATTCGGACATGATGACTGACTTGCAGCGCAAGGTATTCTCAGATACTTTAAAGGATAATTCTGCACTAAAATAAAACCGCCAGAAAGCAAGCCCATACATAAAATTGAAGTTCAGAATAACAAAAAAAAAAATTCCAGCAACATCCGGCTACTACACAACTGACAACTACATCTTCCAGGTAGAAGAATATCGTCGACACATTGCTGCATTAGAAAGTCGAATGAGGGAAAAACGAACTGATGAGACATCATTCACACTGCTTGACTCTACCATGTTTCCAGATGTAAGGAGAGAAGAACCGTATATATCTCAAAATGTTGAAACTACCGACTACCAATACATAGCCCGTATTGATGAGGAAAGACGAAGGTGAATTAACTGCTCTTGACCACATATCTTCAAAGAGGCGCAAACACAAGCATACAAGCATATAAACTAGTATGACCCACGCATCAAATTAATTGAAGTAAAATACTTTGCAGAAACGACGAATATAGGATGTTGCTCGATCAGGAACGCATTCAGAACGATCAGCTTCAGCACGAACTTGAACGACTCCGTCGTGACTATGAAGCAACTATGCAGGAGAAGGAGCGAGTCTACCAGAACCGCGAAAGGGTAAAAAAAATGAATAACACTTCCGCAGACGACAAATACGGCAAAAATCTCTCATAACAAACCATTAACTACAGTTTCTATGGCTGCAGAAAAAAAAATAAAATAAAATGAAAAAACGCTAAAAATTTATCATAGCCAAAAAGTTTCTGTGAAATCCTTCACATGACCTTATTTAGAATTTGACAAGATATTTGAGTGAGGAACAAAAGAAAATGATGGACTTATGGACTGAGCTCCAACACGTTCGAAAACAGTTCGTAAACTTGAAGGAACAAACGGCTATCGATTTAGAAAACCAAAAGTCAGAATTCATCAAAGTAGTTAACAACCTCGGAGGAGCAACAAGGCAATTGAATCTCACAGGAGTCGAGGTATATAACAAGGATTCAAAAATATCTATATTTTAAACACAAACCATTTTTCACACCATTAATAATTTCAGGGTAGAGGTGTCTCCGAAGTCACAAGAGATGCAACGATAACCCAAGACACTCTACTTTTGGAAGCGATTCGACGATTCCAAGAACAGACACCTGGTCAAGCTGGAGTCCAAATTTTGAACGAACTTAAACTTGCTAAAGCAGGAGATTCAGAACTGAACGCAGAACTAATGAAAAGGTGACAATAGAAGAGAAAAAATCGTGCATAAGACAAAGTTAACAAATAAATCACTTCCATGAAAATTCAGGTATGAGGAATGTATCGAACGCAACATGGAACTTGAATCACAACAAACAGAATTCCAAAGAAAAATTACTACCCTTGAAGCTGAATTGCGAAGAAGCAAGGAACGCTTGACAGATAATCAAGTAAATCTAGATTTAAACAGTACAAAACTACGGAAAGTGCAAGTGATACATGACGTGACTAACATTCTTGCCATAAAAATCTTAAGAACTAAAATGTATTATTTTTAGAATGCTCTGCATAAACTATATGAAATAGCACAAGACTTCAGTGGGAAACCAGAAAAACAGAAGCGTGCACGATCGCTGTCACCAAGTAAACTGCTTAAAATACTCTCGGATTAACTAAGCATTCATTGAGCACAAGACCACTTAGTTCTTTGTAACTAACGAGATCACACAGGAGAAACACCGTATTTCAGGTCACGGACCGTTACCACCAGCAGAAGCTCTCCAAAGCGTTCGTAATGTGTTAAGGGCAAAGAACAATGAAATCCAGCAAATAGAACGTAAACTAAGAAACATTGAGAAAGTGGTAAGCTAATAACGCAAGCACAACCAAACTATAAATTTCTGAACATTTTCTATGAAAATATCACGAAAAAATGTATCCAAAAACAAACCAAAGTGGATCTCAATACGAACTTTTAAAAATCTACTATTAAAAAGTGACACCTTTTTAGCGCGATGAATGGACAAGTAAGAATGAAACGCTAGAAGATGCCAGAAGACGATTGGAGAAGCAACTTGCTGATGCAAGGAGAGAAGTCACAAAACAGTATGTTCTTTTACAAAATGTCCTCAAAACCACAATGTTTAATGAAGATTCACTCTGAAGATGAGCAAAACCTCATTTATCAGTGAATAATGAATAAAAAGAAGACCATCATTATTTTTTAGCTTGAACACCATTGATGACTTCGAAAGACAAGTAAGACGTCTCGAAGACAAAATCCGAACCGCAGAAACAGAAAAGGCCGCTTCTGAAAATGCGAAAAAATATCTTGAAGAAGAGATTAAGCGACTCAACCAGTAAGCTTTGAAAAGCTAAAAAAAGGTAAAAAAATGATGAGGATTGCTACCACTCACCGTAATAAATTACAGACTTCTTCAAGCGGCATCTACGGATGGTGAACGAAAAGCAAGAGACAATTTAGTAGATATGACGGCAGCTATAGAACAGGAATACAAGACAAGGTCGAATAATATGCTTATGAAGAAAACCTGCCTATTAGTGATAACTGTTATTAACAAATAACCTCCTTGTCAAATAGTATATAATGCCGAATTTAGAATTGAGGAACTGACTCGTCGCATAGAGGCCCTACAGAAAGAAAACAGCAAATTGAAAAGCGATGCAAGCTCAATGCGAGATCGGCAACGAGATCTTGAAATTGAACATAATGCGGCGATTCGTAGACTGCAAGAAAAAGGTTTTTTTTTTTTGAAAATTCCCCTTCTTCAGTGCTGTGCTGTAAGTTATGCCTGACAATACGATAAACGTGTTACAGAAAACGCGTTGAAAAACCTTGAAAGAATGAACCAAGACTTGATCAAGAAGCTTGAGGAACAACGAGCCCGCTATGAAGCCTTAAACAACGAATTAGATAAAGTCAGTAACGAACTGGCAACAGCCAACCAAAACTTGGCAGCCAAAGATCAAGCTATCAAGGAAATCAAGCAACAGCGTGATGAATACTGGTAAGTCAAGAAATGAAACAACAATCATCTAAAATTTTACGGTAAATGTTTATATAAGACCAAAATGTCCCAAACAAAATTTAATAACAAGCATTAAATTATGACATTATGGTGACTATTACAGTAAACAGAAGGATGATTTATCCAAGAAACTGTTCGAGATGAAACACCAAATGGAAACAGAAAAAGTTGCAAGAATTGAAGCTGAAAAGGCAATTAAGCGTAAGCGGAATTCCTACCTGAAAAAACAAAGTGTTTTTTTTTTTTTTTTGAATAAAGAACGCAATTAAAATAGAACCCAATTTAAGGTTACATGGAAGAAATTGAGAAGCTGAAGAGTGAAATAACAGACTATGAGAGCCAGATTGCTATGATGCGCAGACATAACGACGAACTTGATACGCAACTGAAGAGCAGTCAGGCCAAGATTACAAGTCTCGAGAATGAAATTGCAGCAAATAAAAGAGAAATCGAAAAGCTTATGGAACTCAACCAAAAACTTCAACGCGAAAAACAAGACATATTCAAGTCGGTTTCTGCTTACTGCTCATCAAAAAGATATCGTAAAAATACAGCACACCATAGCAAAACATTACCGTATTTTATTCTTTCAGCCAAAAACATCAAGCTGAAGCAGAAGTTTCAGCACTTAAAGACCGTCTGCGTCGTGCTGAACAAGAAATCGAGAAGCTAAGGTTGGAAAATGTAACCTTAACAGAAAGTGAAGCCAAAGCACGTGATGCACTGACTAAACAGACTGCTCAATTAAAGAGTCTCCAGAAAGAACTTGAAGATGCTAAAGCATATATAAAAGAACTTGAGGGTAAGTAAAACATTAAACTAAATTACAAATCCTATACAAAACTAACTTCTGAAAAATTCTAGACAATTAATGATAATTATTTTAGCCAAACTTAGTGAACTCGATAAGGAATATGCTGATAAACTACGCGATGCTCTTTCATCAAAATCAACAGAAACCGCAGGTAAATAAACTCATTGAAACAAAAAGTTCGAAGATTAGAGCAGTGTCAAATTTTGCAAAAGCAATGTCCATTTTGACATATTAAATAAATAATTTTTAGGTACCACTACCATTCACGACACTACGGTCACAGAAGTTAAGCTTAAAGAAGCTAGTGATAAATGGAGGCTAACCATTGAAAAACTTGAAAATGAAAAGGTACAATCAACTTCAATAAAACCAAAAATATAATAATACTAATAACTAGTAATGCATTAAATTAGTTAAACTGCACATGTTTTTTAGGAGGACCTTGAGAGACGCATTCGTGATTTAGAAGATCAGTTGGCCGAGAAGACCAGGGAACTTGAAAGAAAAGAGATTGACTTGAAAGATCTTAAACAGAAACTTGAAGCAGAGATTGAGCGTCTCCAGTCTGAAATGGCTCAGCTTAGAGCTCAACACCAAAGAGAACTTGAAAATGAACGCGACCAGTATAATGCTGTAAGTGCACTTGCTACATTTAAAATGTTATAACAACGGAATTTTTAACAAAACAAAGCAAAACAATAAACAAAAAAAAAAATATTCAGAATGTCGAATCGATGAGACTGGTGGAAGAAGAGCTCAGACATAAACTTGCCGAAGCTGAAAAGAAACTAGCTGAAACAGTCAGTCAACTTAGTGATGCTGAACGTGAAATCAAGGAATGGGAAGAAAAATACAACCTCTTATACTCACAAATGCAAAAACTTAAGGATGACATCGAAAATGTCCGCAATGAAGCAGAAAAGGTTAGCGGAATATTTCCGAAACCAACAGTCACTCTACCTCCAACAAAAAACAAAGTAATAAAAAAACTATTTTACAGGAAATTCAAAAGTGGAAATCAGATGCATATGCCGCGCGATCAGAGCTTAAAGCTTTGGAAGCATCTAATGCAGTTACAAAATCTCAACTTGCTGCTGCTAACGAAAGACTTGAAGCAGCAAACAAAACAATTGCTGACCAAAGCGCAAAGATAAGAGAACGTATGCTTCGTACATATAAACGAACAATGAAAATCACATAAAAATTTTAGCTGACTAAATTAAGTCCATATGTAACCCTGACCAATCAAACAAAAGCCAGTACCAAACTTACTAATTACTTGTTAGAAAACTTATAATTATTTCAGTTAATAACAATATACGCCGGCTCGAAGAGGAAATAACAGATTTGAAGACAACAATAATGACCAAGGAATCTGATTTGGATAGCGCTTTGAAACGGCTACACAGCATTGAAGAAAAACTTACAGCACTACAATTAGAGTATGATACACTCAAAACTCAAAATGAAACTCTGGTCAGGGAAAATGACCTACTAAAAGTAATTAATTGCGAAGTTGAATTGAAAATTAATTTTAGTTCTTGACCATCATAATAACTATGAATATTTTTCAGACCACCAACGTCTCTAACGAGAATGAACTTGAAAGAGTAAGAAAACAACTGGCAGACTGCAAAGCCGAGTTACGTCAGAGAAAGACAGAGCTTTCAAATCTCCAGACCAATGTGAGAAGTATATTAGAATTATTTTCTTCAAAAATTAAAAAGACGCAAAGCATAGCAATAAACTGACTCGAATTTCAGTACAATCGTGTCGCCAATCTATTGCGTGAGAAGGAAAAACAAAATGAACACCTAAATCACTTGGTTCAAAGTTTCGAAACCAAACTTGAAAACTTACGTCGCGAACTTCAAGCAACGTCTGATAAGGTAAAAATGCTTCAAGGTAAATCAACCATAAGAGTTGTAGTGAAGAGAAGAAACAAAACTGCAAGGCAGCAAATACACCAAAAAAATTCAAATTATCTTTAGCTTATTGGTTCCGATACCGAAAGAAACACTCTTCGTGCAGAAATCGTTAAACTTCAAAAAGAGCTTCAATTTGGAAAAGAACAGATGATTCGTAAGACAGACGAATATCAGTCGTCACTGGAAGAACTTTCAAACGCACAACGAGCAGCCGAAGATGGACGTCTAACTGCAGTTCAAGAACTGGAGTCAAGAAAATATGAGATGGCAGACATGCAGGTATTTAAAACCAAATACAAAGTAGCCAAACAAAAAAAAAA